TCCATTATAGCTCCACCCCTTGTCAAAAATGTAGAACTGATAAAAAAAGGGGGGGGGGGAATCTCCCCCCTCGCTACGCTACAATTCGCTTAATGGAGAAGGCGCCAAAGGACGAAGGATGATATTGCCGCGAGACCATGGTGCAGGGGATGCTATCAGTCCGCTTGGGTCTGATTGGTAAAGATCTCAGGAAAAAAAACCTAGACGTTATGTTGTTGTCCCCTGAACCCTAAACTGAAGACAGTCGAGGGGGAGAATTTTGTCGTAGCTTGCAGTAGGGGAAGAACCCGTGGAACCTTATGCATACTACAACTACATCAAAAAAGAAAAAGCTGTTCTTGCTGAAATCTAGTGACTAATAGCCAGCAGCAGAAGGTACGGAAGTTATGGAGCTGCGGGAAAAACAGGAAAAACAGAAAAAAGGGAAAGAAGGGAAAATAGGGGACTAGTGGGACGAAGGCTACAGGAAAAACTCGAACAGCGCTTCGATTATTCCGTTTCTTCCGTTTCTTCCGTTTCTTCCATTCGTTCTGTTTCTTTCACTCATCCTACCATCTCCACATCCACCAATCCTCTTGTTCGTTATTCAGAAATACCGTGCCGCCAACGCCGTCAAACAAAGACCCTCTCATAAAATCGCTTGAAGGGGAAAGAGTCAATGGGAGGTTTATGCCGGATCATAGTTTCTTGGTGCACCAGTGATTTTGCGTTCTCAAAGAATAATGGCTCTCTTGCAAGGTTATCCCTCCGTATCAGGCCCTTTACTACAGCCTTGTGCGAGAGAAAAAATCCGTCCGGCCCCTCCCCCCCCAAATCCTTCCCTTTTCTTCTGAAAGAAGAGTAAAACGACTTCCCAAAATTTGCACCATCATCATCGTATTATTGTATTTGAACCTTATCGCATGGAGAAAATCCCTCTCTATATCAACTGGGAATGTTTCAAATCTGACATTGTCAATAACTCTCCTGACTGCATTACACTCCGAGTTCTATACTCTACAGAGTAAGTTCACCTCCTATCTTTTCTAAACCGTAGCTAAGTACTCACTAGGAA